AAATTATGTTTTATGATGTAGGGTTACACTTATACTTATAGTATCAATGAAAGCTAATTAATTTTTATTGCACTTGAGAAAAGAGTAATTTTAAATGTAAACACTTAAATTTAAATTGCTTTTTGTTTAAAAAGTGTCAAGAATGTTTGTCATAAGCTGAAAATAAATATGCACAATTTAATAAAAACACAATGCCATTTATTTGGATCAATTAAAAAAAATAGCATCTTATCTTATAAGTAGAGTAAATTTAAGAATAGCTCATTATGCGAGTAAATTCTTAGACGACCAATAAAAATGAAAGAAAATTAACCAATGGAAATAGAATTTACTGAGACTCTTTGCCCAATCGCAATGTAATATTCTAAACCAATGAACAACCAGTTCTTTGTTGCTCGTAAGAAGCCAATGAATGGCTGTTTATAAAAAAACATAATTCCCTTTTTACCCAGAATCCAATTCAATTTTGGCAGGAAGAACCCAGTGACGGAATATTTGGGCACCCAATATTTTATTGCAAATTGAAGCGGGAACTCACATAACTAGGTATGTATTGAATTTTTAAAAAATTCACTTGTTTATATTTTAGTTGTAGGCATTTGATTATATAGTGATGGTAGACTCGTGTAAACTAGGTCTACTACCATCATTGAAAACCTACGGTTCACTACTTTAACCAAATGGCCATGCACTCACTCTCACTAACTCAACTAGCATAGCCTTAGTCTTAGTCCTTAGTCCGTGGCGAATTTAAGTTAGTCTGTGAAGAAAAATTCCGCGGTTGTTTTGAATATAGAATCGGGGCTTACCTAATCGGGAATTCGCAGGTTGCCCATTAAATCGGCATTTAGCATTTGCCTACAATTTCTATTCACTTTTGAAAGTTAGGCTCAAACATTAAATGTGAAGCTGATAAAAAATGTTATTTAAAAATCTTCAATTTCTTCTTGATCCAAATGAAAATTCAAGGGAGACCCAAAAAATGCCAAGTTATGGATCTAACTAATTACTAATAGTAAATTTTAAATAGTTACTAATAGATCTAGCCCAGTTGTCCCTGAGTTGTAAATATTTATTATATAATATGGCCATGAATTATAATAAATATTAATTAGCTGATGCCATTATTTATGAATAGTGATAGGCCCACACTGATTGGATTGATAGGACTAAATTAATATGATACTATTACTACTAAATCTAAATACTTTATTTATTGGGGTGTATGTAATGTTAATATATAATTAAAATAGCTTTAATACGATTATTATTTAGTCAAGTACTTTGACTCGGGACAGATATTTTTAATAATTATTTTTAAATATTGTCTTACTTACTAAAACTTACTTGACTTATGCCTTTCTACCTGTCTGGGGATAGGCCGTCTACAAGAATTTTCCACTCATCACTGCCCTGTGCTTTTTTTTCCAATTGCTTCGGGGTGTATCCCATATTTGGCGTGTCTGCCTCTAGTTCGCGTCTCCATGTATTCTGAGGCCTTCCTCTTTTTCTTTTTCCCTGTGGGTTTTTTCGGTGGTGCTATCTGGAGGTTTTCGGAGCGTACGCCCTATCCATCTCCATCTTTTCTTTTTGATATCTTCATATGGGCACCTGGTATGTCCTTTCTAGTAGATCTTTGTTGGTGATAGTATTTGACCATTTGATTTTTGGGATCTTTCTAAGGCATGTGTTTATGAATGTCTGCACTTTCTGCATAATCATAATGCTCACTGTTGTTTTCCAAGTTTCCAAATATTGTCTGATCGCCATAAATTAGTTTTAAGTAGTAATAAGCCTAACTAATAATGATAGGGCCTTGGCTAAGCCTCCATTAATTTTAAATTTAAATTAAGTTCTAGTTCTAGGCTTAGTAGACTAATACTAATTTATAGACCTTTCCCATCCTCTTGCTCTATTGCTACCTGTTGTATTCATAGTCCTAAACATCGGTCATCTGCTACCTACTACCAGTCAACTGAGGTTTATTAATTTAATTAATAGTTAGACAGACCAAAAACTTATAAAATATTACATAAATAATAGTGTCATTAGTAAGTCAGTATAAGTGCAGTTGGGTGTAAATATTTTTTTTTAACGAATTTCCTATTTTCACATGATAACTTAGACTTATGTGTATTCTTACTTTTTTAAATTAACGATCTCTCCATTTTCTTTTTCCCCCTGCCTATACTATAACTCTAAATCAATACCGGTATGCCAAATTTTGACTATAGTAATTCGAAGTGGTTATGCGCAGCCGACTGTATAACTCTGAGAGTTATACGCAGTCAGCAAGTCACGTGGCTTCTATATTCTTCCTGTGTTACAGTATCAATCAATAAGGGTGCCTTGATATCGGGTGACTGTGGTCGAATGGTCTAAACTGACCAAACCTCAAGTTGGTGGTCTTGAGTTCAATTCCAGCCAACGGCAAGCCAAGAATAGCAAGCTATGAATACGCGTTGGTTGCTATGCTTTTTCTCGAGAATGAAGCAACAACTAGGCTTATTGTTTTACTTTTTTTTGGGCTAAAAAATGTTAAAACATGAGAATTATTAACTTGACCAATGTAATGTTAATAATGTTATACTTATAATTATCAAATATATGTTTGTGTTGTTAACTAATTTTGTGGCAGATAAAATCATGTTTCACTGGTACAGTAATAAAAATAATCATGGGTTGAGAGTAGCAGGAAAAAAATTGCTGTAGGTGACAGGGGTTCTGTAGAGGGGGCACTGTAAGTAATACTTTCACACAGTTATAGTTTTGCATGGAAGCTGAAAACTGTTACATTTAGGTCATCAAAAAAAATAATCATAAATGATAAAATTTAAAAAAAGATAAATAGAATGTATTTCCTGAATTAGTCAGTAAAACCAACCACATAGAAATAGTCATAGCCACATATAAAAACCTAATCAATCAAAATACATAACTAGACTTAGACCATGGAAATGCCTTTAAAAAAATCTAAGACTTAGGCTTAGACTCAAAGAAATATAGACTTTATACTTATAATTATAATATATAAGATACAAGCAATAATACTAATAATAGCACTAATACTATTGCTATCATCAATTTCAATATTAATTAAAATTAATTCAATTAAAATTTTACGTTCAACACATTCAAAGTTCTAGTTCAAAACAATCCACCATGCAGCTAATTACGCATAATACTTTTTTTTTAAATTGCCAAACTAGCGGTAATAAACCTTATTTGGCTAAATTCCCAGCCGACTGCGTATAACCCTGAGAGTTATACGCAGTCGGCTGTGAATAACTCTCAGGGTTATACGCAGCCGACTGCGTAAAACGCTTCCCATAGTAATTAGGTATGCAATATCATTCAATATGAAATATTCCAGCTAAAACTGTAGGCATGTTCACGAAAACGAAACAAGAAATTACATTTAATAAAAATCATAGTAAATTATTTATTGATGTTTAAGTTTAATGGAAATGAAAGTTATTGTATCAGAAAATTAATGTGTCATTGAGAGTGTTTCAGATCCACCAATATTCACTGTCGGCTGGTCAAAGACACTTAAGAAATGAGAGAAAAAATTTGCGATGTACAATTCAGTGTTAGTTAACTATTACTGCTGGGAGTTATCTTAATAATTTAATATATTTTTTAAAAAATACACGCAAGTTTATAAGTTAAACTAGGAATTTGGTAAATAAATAATGTAGGACCTGAACTGCACTTACTTTAACCGTAAGCGTGTTAGAGGATAAATTTAGCCCAAATAAGTAAATAAGCATGTTGCGATTATTATTACTAAACGTAGTAGGGCCTAGCTCATGTAGTTAAATATAAATGGCCTTTGTTACTGTATTCCGGGTAGGCCTTCAGTAGTCCTGGCTATGTTTTGCTTTGGGGGTTTTAATTCTCAGGCAATATTTTACTTCACCTTCTTGAAGTTCTTATGAGGCCTAGGCCTATTTTAGTTTTTAAATACTAAAAGAGCTGTAGGAGTTTGGTGGTTTAATACTTGTACGTCTTGTTAAAAATACTTTATAAAAAAATATTTGTTGCTTCATTATCAACAGAGTCTAAGAGGTAGAAAATTTTCAAATATTCTTAAAATGTATTATGCATCCAGATGAGCCTGGGAAGCTTATTTGTGGGAATTTAAAAAAAAATTAAGTACAAATGCACAAAAGTCCGATCCCACAAAACACTAGAAAAATGGGGTGGGTGGGGTGTTGCTACTACAAAAAAATTTATAAATTTTGAAGCAGTTGTCCTAAAGTCTAAAGAGTTGATCTTGGTGTTTTTGAAAACCATTCATTCATTTACCTCTATACTAGTGTCTTGTTTTATATTTTGATAAGTGTTGTAAAGTTTTCACACTAGTACCTAGTTACAGTTAGGTTTATCCGCTCAGCTTAGGCTATGCTCTAAGTACACAGAGTATATTTTCTTTATTTATCTATTGGCCAGAAATGAGGATGCAGATTTCAAACAGTTTCAGTTTCGAGTTATCTGAGACTATTACTACTATTGCTTGTAATTGTAATCAACAATGAAGGTATAAATACTAAATTGTGAATGGGTTTTTTAAGAACAATTTTTTAAAAGTTCTCATGAAAGAAAATTAAAATTTTAAAATTCCACCCATTTTATATTCAAATATTTTAAAGTAGGTAATTTTATAATTTTAATACTGTTTCTGTAGCATTAAGGTTAGACTTAGAATTTATTGCATTTCTTTTGTTATTGGATATTGCAAGAATCATTAATTGGTCATAACACCACTAACCTATTGTGTCAAGTAAAGTCACCTTGATTAGCTCATAACCACACTACATCATATTCTGATCAACCAGCAACAAATCGGTTGCTGGTCTATTTGTTGGTTATTGTAACATGTTGAATGTTGGTAATTTCCTTTTACTGATATTAGACTAAATTTGCAGCATTATGTTGCCATGTATACACACAGTGATTTATACTATAGGCCGTATTCCATTTTATTAGTTACAGCTACGATGGCCAGAACAAAACAAACAGCTCGTAAATCTACTGGTGGTAAGGCACCCAGGAAGCAGCTTGCTACCAAGGCAGCAAGGAAAAGTGCCCCTTCAACCGGAGGAGTCAAAAAGCCCCATCGTTACAGGCCTGGTACTGTTGCTCTGAGAGAAATTCGTCGTTACCAGAAGTCCACAGAGCTTCTTATCAGAAAGCTACCCTTCCAAAGGCTGGTCAGAGAAATCGCCCAAGACTTCAAGACTGATCTCCGCTTCCAGAGTGCAGCCATAGGAGCTTTACAGGTAATAATTTTTTTTATATTAAGTGGCATGCCAGCTAATTTGTAACAAATGACTTTTTTTTATCCATTCTACAGCACAAAGCTTTCATGTTATTGTAGTGACCTGTAACTTTAGAAACCATCCATAAATTACATTAAGAACATAGGGTTGGGGGGACTAGGCTAGGGAACTGTTAGACAAATTAGTCCATTACATTCTTACAATTTCTAAATAACTGTCAGAATAGCACCAATGCTGAGTAAATATTACCATCTGCTCAACAAAAATGAAAAAAAGAACTGTGACCATTTCGAGTGGTTGTCAAAAGAGGGAGAAAGGTGATGGCAAATTAACTGTATTATTTAAATTGATTTCCCTTTTTTTTTTTTTTATTATGGGGAAAACGCACAGGCCGCATTAACACTAAACTTTGCTGTCAAGTAGCGATCGCAAAATGTTGTCTTGCAGCTCGCAAATGGCTGCAAGTTTGGTACCCCAAGTTTATATTATGATTTTATGATTTGAATCATCTCAACACTCTTCACTTTAGGTCGGTGTCTGTGTATATTTTTATCAACTGTGGACTAATATGTTAAAATATTTCTGTTACAGGAAGCCAGTGAAGCCTATCTAGTGGGACTTTTTGAAGACACCAATCTTTGTGCTATTCATGCCAAGCGAGTTACAATTATGCCCAAAGATATTCAGTTGGCCAGGAGGATTCGTGGAGAGCGTGCCTAATTTTTTCTTTAACTTTAAATATATATATATTGATAAAAATGACACCAACTAGACAGATTTGGAACATTTTATTTCCCGTCCACTGCGAAGTGACTTTAAATTTCCTCTTATTTTATGCAACCATTTCAATTTGGTTTGCTGTTTTCATGGAAGCATATATATTTGAAATCGAAATGGGAAATCGAGTTATGGTTTTTCTTCCCAAGCTTACCAATATTTGAAGTAGCATTATGGTGGTGCGGGGGGTACTGTATTCCTTAGACATGGACCTGAACAGAAAGCAGCAGCATCAACTGTCTTATTCATAATATATTGTGACCCATAAATCTCAGTGTAATGTTCAACTGTATCTTTTTTTGTTTTCATTTGTATTGTGACTCTTAAATATTTCATCATGTTTTCATCACTGTGGCTAGATATACTGAACATTGTATTGATGTTAGTTTTGTTGAATTTGGAAAGAAAAAGGGGGGTGGGTGTCATTAAATTCGTTAAAGTCTTATATATTTCCATTGTTTTGGATTTTTAGAAATAAGTCATGGTATAGTTTTTTTGTTTTTTTTTTCAAATGAAATTATGGTACCGGGTACCGGTTTATTTTACAAAGACTTTGGCAATGTATCTTTTAATAAATGTTTTAGTACCTACTACATCTTTTGTGTTATATTCATATTATATAGTTGTTGCAGCAGAGTTCTTCAGCCTTTTTACACTGTGCTGTAATTGTAAAGTTTCTAGTGACATATAGCACAAGTCAGACTTCATTTACCGGTACGGTACCGGTACTAATGATTTTAAATTGCTGCTTAATAAAAAAAATGTAGCTTTTCAGAAGTTTTAATACTTCTACTCTTCTCATGTTGATAGAAGACTTTATTCTGGTCAAGCTGACCTTCTCCAAGTTTTAAGATACATGTACTTCTCCAATTTTTTTTTTAAAGATACAAATACAATCTTTATACATTATAATAATGTAATGCAGTACCGGGTAGCTAGTTTATCTGTAACTATGAAGTGGGTGCCGTAACTATATATAACGTTGTCTGTCATACTGATGGTCCCAAGTAATTAACAGTTTAAGAACATTAAGATTAAACTTTAGATGCAAAATGGCTGTCGTTTTGTTTAAATCTTCAATTTCCAGTTTTTCTCTTACGGTACTAGTTACCAAGGAATACTTAGCCATGAAATTCAATTTGTGTTACCAGCAAATTGCTGTGAACATGGATTTAGCTACCGAACCAGGAAGTATGTTTGATACATTCATGAATATTACATTGTTTCATTTGATAAGGGTGAGATAATTTCGTGGAGATTCTTGGCTTAAAACTGCGGTACCGGTACTATACTACTTTTAACTTTAACTAGGGTCAATACCCTTATCGTAAGTGTAATAAAGAATAAATTCCGGGGTATCATACTAAAATAATGCTTTAAACTTTAAATTATCGTTCTGTGTCACCGGTATATTATAGCCATAACATAAATGCGGTATAGAAATGGTCATAACAACTTAACAGTACGCACTCATTAAACTGTCAAATTTTTCTACCCAGGAGGGTATGTGCAATGAGTATTTAACCATTTCTCCCCCCCCCCCCCCCCAACTAAAAAGTTAATATATGAATATGTCCAGACCTGTTTACCCCTCAAACTCTTAAAATGTTACAATATCATCACAAAATCGTTTTATTATTGTAATTTCTGTAATACTTAGTAAAAAAAAACATACAGTACCGGTATAAATAATGGGTAGGGCCTACACTTACACATCAAAATCTCTCATTACACCAAAATCGTAACCGTAAACATGTCTGTATCAGTATCATACGGTACTCATACTGTAAACATGACTGTATCAGTATCATACTCCTGTATGTCCCAAGTTTTCACCAGTTTCAGTGTTTGGCTAGCGAAGGGGTTTTCAAGAATGTGTCAACCTGGGTGCCATTTATTGGCTTCGCCCCAGGAGTCACTTTCACTCGGCATTGCTATATCTTGGGTTGCTGCGGTTTCCTCAGTCACAGAGGCGCCGCGAAATATTACCGGTAGCTCCGGTACCGATATTGCTCTTGCTACACAAATTTAATTTTAATCCTAAGTGACATCTCGCGGTCGTGGTACAAACAGCACCGCGGTACGGTAACCCTCTTATTGAGTAACACTAACACAACTAACAGTACAGGAGAAGTAGAAACGGGTACCGTAGTAATTACTACGGTACCGTTGCTAGAGATGATGCTTGGTGATGTACCGGTACTTACAAATTTTATTTTTACCCAAATGTTTATTTTATTTGTATTCGCCATCCATATACCGGTAGTTAATAGTAATAGTACAGTAGTAAAAAAAAAAGTCACATATTCGATGCCCCTTTGGAACTTCATTGGAAGTGGAAGCGTTCATATTTTATTAAACCTCCCACCTCTAATTATCATGAATTATGCGTACAGTTTAACCGTTTGTTCTGGTACAATTTATGAACTTTCTACACCCCCCCCCAAAAAAAAAACAACAAAACAACAACCTATTTCCTACTGGGTTTTACTATACATACACTGTACTGTATACTTATACAGTTATGACGTTGCAGATGCAGTACCGGTATAAAATGTGTCACGAGTTTTCACCGTTTGTTGCATTAATTTATTTTTACCCCCCACCCCTTTTTTTCTTCTTCTGGATTCTATTTTAATTATGCACAATGCGTACGGTTTGTAACGGTACAATGAGCATTCGACCCCCACCTTTACCCAAAAATAAATAAACCGATTTACTTGAACCAGGTGCTTACGACGTGGCTGTATAAAATGTGTCACGGGTTTTCACCCTGTTTGGAAAGCCCAGTGATTCCAAATTGTGCGCCACGTCACACTGTGTTGTCATTTTATTGGGCATGGCCATGCGAAAGGTGCAACCCTTTATTTAATAAAATTGTAATCACTATCTCGTTAAAATTTGACACATTGCGTCTGGTGAAAACCTAAATTTGGTAAGGGTGAAAAACAAACTCTACTATTAAACTAACGACTACTGACTTAACTGACAAAGCCGAAAATGTTTTTTAAAAATACGACTTAGGCCTAACCGTTAAGTTAACGTCACTCAGATTTATTTCCCCTGCCCGCCACCCTTTTTCCCGTCACAAATTAGATACCGGTACCCGATACAGGTACATTCACCACTGTAAAGTGTAATTCATCACAAATTTGTGATGAATTACACTTTACAGTGGGTCGGGTACATTCACCACTGTAAAGTGTAATTCATCACAAATTTGTGAGGGGGGGGGGGGCATACAAAAAAAACCGTAACATTAATAATATAAATTATAAAGGCGTGACGTCGTTTATGATGACTTCAATGGAGAATGGGCTGTCGATAATCACAAAATATTGCGTGATATTTTTTTACAGTATAAGTTTTAATAAGTAGAGATATAAATTATTATATTATAATTATATACCGGTACCGTAGTTAGAATATTTATGGACAGTCAGAATATCAAGCTAAGTGTTGCAGAATTATCATTTTGTGTGTGAATAAATTCAATGAGCAAAGAGTCACTAGATTTAACTTTACCTACTTACTAGTAGTTACTTTCTAAATCAGTATGATGATTATTGATATTGGTAATACGCTGATACTGATTGAACAATTTTAACTTTGATGCTTCCGGTACTCATCATTGCTTATTGAACTTTTACTTAAATTGAAATAATATACGTTAATCTGATACAAAGATTGGTGTGCTGAATTGTGTTACCGGTACTCAATACTTTATTTTGAAAATCAACTGTTCTAATGACTAATTCTAAATAATTACAATGGTTAACGGTTAGCTTCCCCTGCCCTAAGTGATCATGCCTATCAAATAAATACCGGTATTATGGTTTAGTATCAGGTATATGAAAAAATATTTATACAGACAGGCTACTGGTACTCAAAACCAATTATTATCTTATAAAACTTATAGTTATAGTTTATAGTACCGGTAGTTATAGTTATAAATTTTTTGGTGCATTAGGTAAGTTTTTAAAAGAATAAGTGAATAAGTTACCTTAGTGCCAGTAAATTTTACAATTGATTTATTTACCATTACTCTCCCAAAAATTGATCAACAGTTTAGTACCAGTACCATACCGGTTTAGGGCACTCTTAATTTAACAACATTGGGGGCGTAAATGATGTAAGCCACATGCAGACAAAGGGGAGGTGTATTAAAAAGTACACATGAAACAAAGGGGTGGGGGGATTTTACTTTTTTGCATATGTTCTATACGGGTGACTCGCATACCGCTAGTACACACTAATTTAGTTGACTAATATTACTATTATTTTTACAATCACAATTTTATTGTCAAATACCTAAATATCACTCAGGAATTGAAAGTGGGAGTGGTCACATAAATTTGTGATTAAAAGTTTTAGTATGGTACTGGTACATTTCTTAAAATACTACAGGACAAATATGTGCCAGTACAAATAAAGCTTAGAAACTGTTTTATTTCAATTTTTCAAACATGAAGTAACTTAAGTAAATTAATAAAATTCTTCTAATGATTTACAGTACCGGTACATTAATTCATTAACACTGGTCACATCAATTGATCAATACAAAGTAAGGGTGGGTAATTATCAATACAAATATACATGTCAATAATAAGGAATAATTACTAAACTGTTAATTTGCAGTACCCTGTACAGACATAAAACCCAATGGGGTAGGGTTAGAATTAGAATAATCATGTGGGTAATAATTCTGTCTGATTCAACATTTTACAAAATAAGTTGTTAATTAGCAATTCTTGTCATAAATTAAACACTAAAAAGTAGAAAAAATGTAAATTATCATTAACCCATGAAGTTGACATCCCCTCCCTCAAAGACAGACGAGAAAAGCTCCGCCTAGTGGTCATGTGGCTAGTGCCGGCCATCCCAGCAAACACTTATCTCACCCCACAGAAGCCAGGTCGCTTAATCAGAGCCAAACGCTCATTAAACACTGACTTCACCTCTAACAACCCCATAAGCAATTACATCTGGAACAATAGCAAATGCTTCACTGTGCCGTGGTGTAACACAGTGCAATATAAACAATCATTCTTCCCATGCACAATAATCGCTTGGAACCACCTGTACAATGCTGCCATGGACTCGACATCAATTGAGAGCTTCAAGGCTGCCCCGGCATTCGCTAGGAGCCATTAGGATAGCAGCATCGCTTCCCCAACCGTTGCACATATGCCAGTACATTGATTCAGCAACGTACCCTACCAGAACCAGAAGTATAATGAAGTGATTGCAAATTTCATGAAACAAAATCAATGCAAAACTACAATTAAGATTATTTAGTTCCATTTTAATTTTACAAAGGCACTACCACTTTTTTTTTTGTTTTAAGTAGTTTCCAAAAAGCTAGAAGCAAGAGTATATATGTATTATCAGTATGCACTAGGGGTTTTTTTTTTTGCTGACGACTTAAATGAACAAACCCTGGTCTCTTTAATCTAATTTTTAATTAATAATTAAGTAAATTATAACACAGTATTACCTGTATCGCTTAAGAATTTTTAGTACTAGTACCAGTAAATTAAACTGCTGCTAATAAAACTAATAATTCACATAAAGATACGGTGTACTGGAATAACTGCAGTTAAACCACACAAACAATTCTATTTGAGGACAAAGAATGTAGAGCAATTATGATATTATTAATGCTTCTTTTCTTGCTCTTGTCTTTTAGCTACAATGTCTCTTAATCTTATCTCTGCTTCTGTTGTGTCCATTCCACTATCTCTCATTTGAGGTATAGCTTGTCGCAAGTGAGGCTCTTCCAAATTCGGAACACGACGAAATAAAGATGTATTCAACTGTTGGTCAATATCATTTTCTTCTCTAAGGAAAAAAAAATATATCATGAATATGGCCAAACTAACTGTGACAATATATGGCTGGTATTTATTTATGGGCCCAGACTTGGGTAGAGTAGGGATGTTGGCAGCACTGATTGTAAATTTGTAAGGCTCTGAACTTATTTCATTTTTCTTTGTTTGCTTCAAACAAATGGTTGTGGTGTGGATTGCATGGCTTGGTGTAAAATATCTGAAAATAAAATTATTAAGTACTTGTAATAAAATAGGTAAAAAAATATTTAAAATTTAACAAAAATTGGTTAATAATTAATAAATGTACCCGTACAGTAAAATAAAAGGTACTGGTACTGTAACAAAACACATGCATAATTACTACAGGTACCCGTATTTATATAAATTTAAAAGATTTAAGTACCCGGTAATACAAATTAAAGAGTACTTAGTACCACTGTACCTTGGTTTTCATGCATGACCACTGACTGAAAGTAACTATTGTATAGATGTTTTATTTAAAGTAACATTAGTGGTACCTTTAGAGCAGTGTTTCCCATCATTTTTTTTTTTACTCATGACTCTTAAAAATGTATGTAAATTTTCATTATGTTCACCATTGAAAAAAAAAAAAAAAATTGCTTCATTCTTTTAACAAGAATAGTTTCCTGACATTGCTCTTATTATGTACAGTATATTATTTTTGTCTAAGCTATTTCCAATTTGAAATACGATGCTTGCACCTCCATTACGCGTTATACTTAGTTGCTGAAATATTCTAGAAAGATCAAGTTTCCTATGTTTGAGGAAGTTTGGCCAGTATATAAATTAATTATTACCATAGGAAATTGCATTTCATAAAAAATGTGGCACATTGGCGGTAATAATCAAATCAATGTTGTACCGGTTTTAAACAAGTCTGAAGAGCTGAATTTCTTAATAATAATTTATAAATTTAATTAACGCCAAATTAAAATATACTATAATATAGCATAATATCCACCAAGTACCAATACCTACATATAGACTAATTTGAATAAGCCCTAAAATCAAACTGTACTATTATACTATACATACTAATACTAGCCTTTATGTTTATATTATTACTATTATTATATCCTATATTATAATTATTGTATTAAAATTACCGGTGTTATATATTATTTGATCGCTAATTGCTATTGACTCAATTAAGTCATTGCCGATCACCGCTGGGGTTTCTCATTTCCGGGGTTTAGCTTATCCGGGGTAAAGATAATAGTAACTCTCATACCAGGATAAAATTATTCAATAAAAAATATGTTGTTCTTCGTCAAAATCGACTAGGACCATCGAGCCATCTGGTTGGGGGGAGTGTGGGTTACGGTGAGCTTGTAGGTGGCTTGCTAGTCCGATCCATGCTCAGAATAATACTGGCACCATGGGCAGGGGATAGTTACTGCAGTCGGTGATCTAATGTTGCTCTTTCGGGCTAGCCTGCGTGTCTCAGCTGTGGTTATCCTACTGGCTTCATGAGATTTAATCCCCCTTCTTGACAGCTGTTCTCCACCTGGTTCTGTCCTGGGCTGTCTGCACCCATTTAGTAGGGTTGATGCTGAAGGCCTTTAGTGCCGCTTTCAGTGAGTCTTTGTAACACTTTTTTGACCTCCTTGGGAGTGCTTGCCTATTGTGAGTTCTCCGAAGAGAATATCTATTTTGGGAGCCGGTGGTCTTCCATACGGGCTATGTGTCCCATCCAACGTGTCCCACACTCTTCAGTATTATGTATTCTGCAACACTGTCTGATGCGTTCAAGGACTCCACCACGGGCTTGCCAATTCGGTTTCGCGCCAATGGATCAGTCTTCAAGTCAACCTTAGGAGGCTTCAAGCTAAAACTAAGGTCAAACATAACACCATCAACGAGCTTCTGTTTGCGGATGATTGTGTCCTCAACGCTGCCTCAGAAGCTGTCATGCAACACAGGGTTGATGTCTTTCCTGAGGCCTGCAATAACTTTGGTCTCACAATCAACACAAAGAAGACTGAAGTGATGTATTAGCTAGCTCCCAGTAAGCCCTTCGTTTGAACCCAACATCGTCATCAACGGAGAGCGTCTTAATGCGGTGGATAAATTTACTTACTTGGGCAGCACCCTCTCCAGATTTGTCGTCATGGATGATGAATTGAATGCCAGACTCGCAAAAGCTAGTGCCATATTTGGCAAGCTCCTCAGCACTGTTTGGGACAGGAGAGGTATCAGACGAGAAACGAAGATCAAGGTCTATAGCCCAGCAGTCCTCTCGACATTGCTCTACAGATGTGAAATGTGGACAGTCTACCAGCGTCACGCCAAGAAACTGAACCATTTTCACACAACCTGCCTCAGGAAATTCCTCGGCATCAGGTGGCTAGACAAAATTCCTGACACAGAGGTCCTTGCTAGAGCGAACCTACCTAGTATCTTCACCACCCTGATGCAGTTTTAGCTTGAAGCCTCCTAAGGTTGACTTGAAGACTGATCCATTGGTGCGAAACCGAATTGGCAAGCCCGTGGTGGAGTCCTTGAATGCATCAGACAGCGTTGCAGAATACATAATACTGAAGAGTGTGGGAGCCAGGACACAGCTCTGCTTCACACCATTTGTGACAGAGAATGCTTAAGATGACTGGCCGTTGTCCTGCACTCTGGCCATCATGCCATCGTGTAGCTGATGTTGGTGAACGGATGATGTTGGTGAACTTGTCTGGGCATCCGTACTTTTTCATGATTTTCCACAGGCCACCTCTATTGACCCTATGAAAAGCCTTATTCATGTCGATAAATGTGGAATATAGGTCTGCATTTTGCTCCTGACATTTCTCTTGAAGGTGCCTGGCAGCAAACATCATATTGATAGCTCCGCGCCCTTTGTGAAAACCACAATGACTTTCGGGTAGGAGACCTAGCTACAGATGTGCATTCAGGCGGTTCAGAAGGGCTCGGGTCAAGATCTTGCCTGCAATGGACGGCAGTGAAATTCCGCTGTGATTGTCGCAGGCCTGTAGGTTTCCTTTGTGTTTTTACAGGTGGATCTTTGAGGCCTTGTGGTACAGTTTCAGTCTGCCAGATGATCTGGAATAGACACAATAGCTTATCCGTCAGCGCTGGTCTACCCTCTTTGTAGATTTCAGCAGGAATCATGTGGGAGCCAGGTACTTTGCCATTGGTCATTTGGCGGATAGCTGTCTGTATCTCGACCAAAGTTGGGACAGCATCCAGTGACTTGTTCTTTTGGACCTGGGGCAGTCTTTCAATAGCCTCATCATTAATGATGGAAGGTGTATTGAGCACACTATCATAGTGTTCCGCCCATCTTTCCAAGATTTTCTCCTTGTCTGTGATGAGTGTAGAACCGTCTGCACTAAGGAGAGGGGAAGAGCCTGAGGTGGTAACTCCATAGATTTCTCTCAGGCCACTGTAGAAGTTTTTCATGTCTTTCTTGTCTGCAAAAGTCCTGAATTTCATCATCTTTCGCACTCAGCCAGGAGTCTTGCATCTGGCGCAGTTGCAACTGGACCTTGCTGCGGATGCTCCTCAGTGCAGTTGTCTTTGCTGTTGATATGGGGTCATCATGGAGGGCCTTGTACGCCCGATGTTTTTGCTCAATATAAACTGAATTGGACTACCTGTATACAAGAGTGGCTTTTTATGGTTGCTTTGGTTAATTTTTTTATTGTCTCAGAGTTTGATTTACAATTTCAATCATGGAATTAATGGGTATAGGTATCAGTATCAGTGATCAGTATCAACTATTTTGTTAATTATAATACGGCAAAATCTAGTTTAATGTTTTCGTTTCCAAAAATGTACGTTTTTTAAAAGCCTTATTTTCAATAAAACGTGGTAAAGATCACTTTGCTTTAATTTAAAATTTAATAATACAAAAAGCGATCAGAATCAGGTTTAAGAACTTGTGTAATACTAAGAGATACTGAATTGAGCTTAATAAAAAATTATATTACTTTTACTTAATTACTAAATAAAATGAGTAAAACAAAGTAGGGTTAAACCTGAAAAAATAAACGCAACAAAACAGCGAACGTGTCGGCAGAAAGCCTTCGTCAGCAAACAAAACAACAGAAAAAACGGTATACAAATAAAAATAAGAAATAGCACTTAGCTGGTAAGTAGTATCTGTGTAGTATCACACTAGAACTTCTATTGTTGGCCCACAGACACAACTTACCAGCTAAGTGCTGTTTCTTATTTTTATTTGTTTTACTTTGTTTTACTCATTTTATTTTGTACTAACCTGATTGCAGTCTCTCCCCTTATTACCCCTACTTAATTACTAGGTTTTTTTTTATTGTATAATTTATAATATAGTAAATATAGTCTATTTTAATTTACATTTCAGCAAGTAACAAATTGTTATAAACCAGGACCAGAAAACTGTATTCTAATATTAAATGTGTGTCAGTAAAGTCAGTTACTGTATAACTATGTAAATGTAACAGTATGTAACACTGTGTACCCTGGATGGGAAAAAATTAAGTGGAAATGTTGTGTTTACTACAAATTGTGTAGGATTCCAAAAACCTAAACTAAGGCCAAGACAAGGATTGCCGTTCTTCCACTCCGTTAGCGCTACAGGCTACAGTACGAAACTTTAAGTTTAAGATTACACTTTTTATTTTTAACTTCATTATATTGCAATGGCAATGCAATTGTCAATTGGCGGTCGTTGCTATCTTACTACCATTGTTCTAGTTATTTACCTACAAAATACCCTCGAAGAAACCTGGTGGTTTTTTAAACAGAAACGAACTTCTAATAAGGAGATTCCAAATAGTCGACCACTGGGACCCATATTCTTTAACTGTTTGCTAATGTACACAGGAGAACTCGAGAAAGGTTAAAACTTATATTTCGTAATAATTACAAGTTATACAACAGAAAAGAGTTACCCGTCCTTGACACTAAAAAAAGAAAATGATTCGGGAAAGTAAACGATACAAATATATCATTATGATTGAAATGCCGACAGCAATCTACTTGTAAGTTTTTAACCAGTGGTGGGATTAAATACATAATAACAAACGGCTGGATACTCTGGTGACCGTTTAATTACAACGCAAAATAATAAACGATATACTGAAAGATAATTTATAAGTAGTTCAGTGATCAGTGAGACAATGGACTGACCAGTGGCGTAGCGATGGTGTTTGGCGCCCGGGGACAAGATCCATTTTTAGCGCCCCTTTTTCTTTTTTTTCAACTCTCAAACCCATTATTTTCATCACTAAAATAATATCAAAGCGCATTTTGGCGCCCCTAACTAGCTGGCGCCCGGGGGCATCTGTCCCCCCCTGCCCCCACCACGCTACGCCTCTGGGACTGACCCTGTACAATAGGTAGACATCACATTGTGCCGCCCAGGGCGTACTTTAGGGCAGCCGCCCCCTCCGAAAACACTACATAAAGGCCGTCCATTAATTACGTCAACAATTTTACGCGTTGTTTGACCCCTCCCCCCTTGTCAACAACTGTCAAACTTTAAATGACCCCCCCCCAATTATGTCAACATTTAACCCCCCCCCCCTATGATTTATAATATAAATAAATGTATAGTTTTTAGGGCTACACTCAAATTTTATAATACACAATCAATTAAAAAGTTGCTAAAGACTAAATATCATTGTTTGTGGAAGTAAAAATGTTAATATTGTAAGTATAGCTGACAATTGTAGTATAGTTTCTAGCTGTTATCTTCCCATGGAGTAGCCAGGTGTTGCTCTATCGTAATAATGGGCATATAATAGTAGCTGATTTATCATTTCATCTTGCGGAACTGATACTGATATACCAGACAAGTCAACATCTTCCTCATCTAACCATTCAGCACTTAAAATAGAAGCATTGTCAGTGTGAGCAATTATTTTCAGAATTTCATAAGCTCTCTGTCTCCTGGCAGCTACTCGCATTGGTCGAATCCTTTTTTGCTGAGGAGCAGGTGGTAATTTCTTATTCATAATAGTGCATTTTCGGTACCGTTGAACATGCTTTGTAAAACATGACTTTACAGAAGACATTTTCTATCATGTGTTCAGAATTGGGGGCGTCATTAAATTACGTCCACAATTTTAAGCTTTTTTTACCCCCCCCCCAACTTTTTGTAAACAAGTGTCAAACTTTTATTGTAGTATAGTTTCGAGCTGCTATCATCTTACCATGGAGTAGCCTAGACAGGTGTTGCTCTACCGTAACAATGGACATAGTAGCTGATTTATCATTTTCATCCAGCGGAACTAATATAGGCCTACCAGATAAGTCAACATCATCCTCATCTAACCATCCGGCACTTAAAATAGAAGCATTGTCAGTCAGTGTGAGCAATAATCTCTCTCTGTCTCCTGGCAGTGGCAGCTACTTACATTGGTCGAATCCTTTTTCTTGAGGAGCAGGTGGCAATTTCTTAAGCCCAAGAGTGCATAGTCTGTTAAATATGCTTTTTCAACATGACTTATGATGCGAAATAGATGTTACATATTTTGAAAATCCGTTCAAGCAGCGATGCTATTGTTGTTACTAATGTTACTCACTTTAATTTCCCCTCATTCTCAAAAGATCTTAACCCTACCCAGTCAACTCAATATTATTTATTTGAATGCATATGACACTTGACCCTTGTTCCATACTGGCAACATGATCGCAAACGTACCACCCTAGCAGAGGCGTATGGAGTGGGGGGGTACAGATGTCCCCGGGTGCCAGCTAGTTAAGGGCGCCAAAATGTGCTTTTACATTATTTTATTGATGAAAATAATGGGTTTGAGAGTTGAAAAAAAGAAAAGGGGCGCTTTAAAATTAAAATGGATCTTGTCCCCGGGCGCCAAACACCTTTGCTACGCCTCTGCACCCTAGTCATTCGCGACAAACACTTCAAACAGCATCTACAGGTGAAGAGAGGCCAACTTTTAATTCTCTTGCACTAACCAAGTGTGCTAACATTCTGACCAGCCATCTGCAGTGCACAGACAGACATACATTAGATAAATCTTTTATTGTTAAAGGCCTACAAATTATATGACTATTAATACACACTAAATATTTTAATTTTTAAGATTAAAATTATAATAGTAATGGTAGAGAAGACATCATTGTTGACACCAATTTATCTAAAATAACCCCTCCCTCTTGTCAACAGTTTCCACCCCACCCCTTATTTTCGGTGACATAATTTATGGTCGCCCCCATAGCCTATAAATATATATAGGAATTTTCAGCATGAGACCTGGAAATAACGAACCTTTAAATAAAGATACGATACGCCTGGCATTTACACTAAAATATCGCCCCGTAATGGTGGTGGGGAAAGGATGACATCAAGGTAGCCGAAGGCTCCTAAGCTTAAGTATGAGTAGGAAATAGGAGGCTAGGGACTTGACTTATGCCTAAACCCGTCTGGGGCATAGGTCGTCTACAAACTACAAGAATTGTCCATTTATCTCGGTGGTCTGCTTTTCTGACCAGATGTCTTACCCTCCCCAAGAGTTAAAAAAAAAAATTAATAAAATAATCCAAGGGATTGAAACCCCCTTACTTAAGCAAAAACAAATTTTTTGCATTTCATATGCTTTGTTCTTATTTGGAAGTGCATTAATCATTAATGAATGCTACCTGGCTATGTAGTTTCCCTGCACTGGTTGAATTAAACAGCATTTTATTAAAAGTATAAGAGTTTTTAAAAAATAAATTTCATAAGTTTAAGTATATTTTTGGAATGAATAAAAAGTAAAAACTTATTAAATGTTAAAAATAGAGAGCTATATTTATTAACCTTACTTTTAAGAAGGGGAAAATACATACATCAATTTTGTAATGCGCAGTTATTAATTACCGGTAAATGAAAGAAACTTCGATTTAGGCTAAAATAGGCGATTCGCTTTAGGACATTTGCGTGTATATTTAGAACAAATTCATTTTAATTCGCAACATTAACAAGGCACATTGGGTTTTCCCAATAAATGTGAATAGGTGTAATTATTCGATCATCATTTTTTGCATAACTTTTAAACTACTTAAGATAGTTCCTTAGTTGTTACTTTAAATGTATTTGTAATTTATAATACCGTACTTAAACTTTTACTAAAATAAGAGGATATATAATTTTTGCACATTTAAATTTATTTGATTTCCGTAAAATATTAGAAAATAACTGACTGATAGTTGATCGTTTTTATGAAGGTATTACATCTTTTCGGTTCTTTGGCATTATGATCAGCCTAGCTCATTCTTATATTGTGCAAAGATTAGTCAACCATGTAGTATGATCATATAGGTCTTTGCAACTCAATTTAAGAAAAGTAAGTACATTTTAAAACTATAATGTAAATTAACTAGGTATGGAAAAGGTATTAGAAATTACTGTATTTATTAGCGTATAACATGCACTTTTTCTCCCCGAAAACAGGGGGCAAATCATGTGTGGGTGTTATACGCCAATATAATGTTTAGTATTTTTTGCTGAAATTTCCTTCTTAAAAAAAAAATGAGGTGGGTGTTATACGCCAATAAATACGGTACTCTTCTGTTGCTTCTTTTTATTTAATAAATGTACTATTCCTGATGAAATAATTATGACTAACTGGGAAACCATTCATAATTAAAATGGCCTTTTATTCTTTTGTACACCAATGAATAAAGCCATTTACATTATTTATTGAAAACATACTGCATCAGGTGTAGAAATAGTAGAATTTAGGCCATGAACTGCATTGCAAGTATTGTTTTAAGCACTAATTGCATTAAAATAAGTTCAGACAGCTCAGCACTTTTAGACTGTAGCACACAACAAATAAAGACAACAAATTATGAATTAATGTTAACTTGTTTAATTGTACTGCACCATACTTTCATTAAAAGAAAAACCCAAGAATCTTGCCCCCCAAGTGTTTCCTCCTGGCTTCTTCATGATCCATAATTCCACTGGAAGTAGTTAACACAATGAAACTGTAAATAGAAAAACCAACAAAAAAACTTTAAAAAAATGAAATTAAAATAAAATGTCTTCCGATAAACCTTAGGCCACAACAAAAGAATCAAGCTTTTTGGCTAAGTAAAGACAATGAAAATGTATACATAATACAATATAAAACTTGAACTATGCAGAAAGGTTTCTAATCTGGGATAGCAATGCATTAATCAAATATTTGCACTACTGGTAGCCACCAGGGCTGAGCTGGACGCTAACGCACGAAATGTTCAGTTTTACACCTAGCCAATAAAACGGAACCGGACAGTTACCCGGATTAAAAAAACAACGTTAGGCACCATTTTATTCGTACTTTACCTGAAAATAATAAAAAATAAAAATTGACTGTTGAGTGGTGCAAAAACAAGTATACCAGTAAGCGGAATGGAACTACAAAGCTTGAATAATAATTATGCACTCTGATTCACTCTTTGCTTTGTAAAATATGTATGGTATCACTAAAATACCAAAAACTAATAGAAAATTAATTCAGAGACCCATTTAAGCTAAATATTCTGAGTAACTGTGACAAGAAATCATAATAGCATGAATTCTGTTAACACTGTGAAATGAATGACATTTCAACAGTCAGTATCATTGTGCTACCGATTATCTCATACAATGTTGGTTGGGTCTGTTTAAACATATAAATGCCTGATTTGCAGTAATAATTGTTCAGTTGAGGCCGAATATATTTGCAACAACACCCATTATGAAAGTTTAAAAAAAAAAAAAAAATCAACCAGAAAAGTTCAACTTAAATTGTTCTGCCCTGACACTTTGACTTTTTGTGTGACACTTCCACCACCATACTTTTGAACCATTTTACCATTTATTTTAAACTTGGTACTAATTCTCAACAAGTGAACATTGGTCACATGCATAAATATTTTACCCAAGTGTCTGAGTCTGTTTTTCAAAAACCGAAAATAGTCTTTACCATTGGGATTGTTCAATACTTGTTCACATTGATGACCTGCCCTCAAATACATGCTGTACCGTACAAGACATCAATTAAATTAATGACTTAAGATAATTAACAAACCCGAATTGTCTTGAGGGGAGAAGATTATTAGTCCATTTCTCCATATCCCTGATAGAGACATCAAACCTTGGGCTTACTACACCACACTGAAAACAGAAATGTATTACACTAATATTCACCAGATATCCAAACAATGAATTTAACCACTATAAATCAAGAAAAATGCTCAAAATCTTAAAATGTAAATCTTAATACCAAACTAGAATAATATGAGGGGAGGTAAATAACTGATTTTGATAGAGTATATAGATTTATTTTATGCCACATAGCGAAGGAAATATTTGCTTTGTAGCTCCAGATATGCACTGGAATATGAGAACAAATAAATAGGACTTATCCAAGACACTGCTGGTAGCTCAGGCACAGTTAAAATGTAGCAAGGATGTGGCATGCATTAATTAAACAAAAGGCTGATAATGTTCTTAACTGCAACTCACTTTGTTTAATCGTCCTGTAAGGTTAACTACTATCTTGCCGCTTCTGTGGTCATCAATCTGTTCAAATTCACCAATGTAACCTAGTATTTAAAAAATAACATTTTTTTTTAACAAGCTGAATAGAAATTGACTTGCTCATCAAAGCCCACTACTTTTCTTTGGCCATTAAACTTCTAACTGTTAAAATGAAACAAGATAAAACTTATTTTAACTCTTAAAGTTCAATGCACCAGTCTAAACGTTACATTTTGACGCGAGCCAATCTATGTGGCGTTTCGTAGTGACTCTTTAATTTTGGGATTGTATATAAATATTTCTGTATTTTGTCCAAAACAATATTTCCACATCCTCTTCTGGTGTTTACATTTTTCAAATGTGCAAGGCATTTGTTTTTTATCTCAATTTTACTAGAAAAAGTATGAAACATTGTCACCTAGGGTCAAACTTTATCACAAAAAAAAAAAAAAAAAAAAAAAAAAAAAAAAAAAAAAAAAAAAAAAAAAAAAAAAAAAAAAAAAAAAAAAAAAAAAAAAAAAAAAAAAAAAAAAAAAAAAAAAAAAAAAAAAAAAAAAAAAAAAAAAAAAAAAAAAAAAATAAAACAAAAAAAAAAAAAAAAAAAAAAAAAAAAAAAAAAAAAAAAAAAAAAAAAAAAAAAAAAAAAACTGCATCAAGATGTGGATTTGACCTACGGACACTAATAGTTAAGCACAAACACTGAACAATCTATATATATATATATAAAACTGGCACTACTGTAAAAAAAAAAAAATGACAAGCAAATGTTTCACAACTTGAGCACCAAAAAGGTCCTATACCCAAACCCATCAGAAAGAATGAATTTGGACAATTCTGTGACCTATATAGGCTTGAAGATCCAATTTGGATGATAAAACAACAAGAATTGAAAAATATTTGTATTGCAATGAAGAATATACAACAGACCTGGTTACATTGTATCTCCCGAAATAGTACAATATAGTTTCAGAATAGTACTTTGCCATCTCAAAATCGTACAATATTGTATTGTAATAGTAAATAAATAATCATACAGTATAATGAATAGAATAACTATTCACATTGCATGTCTAATAAAATAGTATTTAAAAAAAATCATCAAGAGTTAATCAGTCTACTGTAAATCAAGGAAGACGATCAAGTGAATTTATCATTGTATGATTTAGTGGACACATAATTCAAATCAATAAGGCCAACTATTCGATTTTGCTTTCTTCTATATTGCTATAATGAATTAATAATAATAATAGCACCAGTAGCAAAACTAAAGTAATTAATTTCTGAGACCATTTCGTACTATTATGGGAGTACAATGTTAAATAATTAGCTACTGCATTGAAAAAGTGCTGTGGCTGAATCAAAAGTAAGTTACATCTTCCCATATTCATATGCAAGTTTTGTGTACAAATTCAGTCTATTATCAGTAAATATTTTGCAGATAAATGAATTTTCTTTAAGATAAATTAAAAACAAACCTTTGCTTCATTATTATATAATTACACAACAAAGGATTTTAACAATTTGCCACAATACCATCAATTTCAATTTCCAAAACATTTAATTATTATTTACTCTTCTAATAATTTTTGCAATTACATCTACACTAAATATTAAAAAAGTTTACACATTTTGACTATGAACAACCGTATCAGTAATCACATAAACATTGATGTCAACATATTTATAGTATGATTGTTTTTTTGTCAACTTATTGCTAGTTGGCATATATATATTGTTAACTACCCTCAAAATATAAAAATGAAAGTAAGAATGTAAATATAACTAGTTTTACTACGAAGTCGAATGAATATGAACAATCACACAGTGATGCTAGCAATAGCTCATGGCCGAAGGCCATGGCAAATGGAAAAATTCTTGGTGCTACCAGTGACAGATGGTAGTTAATCAGTTTAAGAGGTCTGAAATAAGTAGGCATTAGTGTTTGATGTCTATTAGTATATAGGTCTAACCAGCAGAAAAGGAAACCATGATCATTGTTTCAGAGTCAGTGTACTAAAAAGCATCAACTGACACATGACAATTAAGCCAAGCCAATATGAACAATTTTTTGTAATTTGACAGTACTTCTTACCATGTTTCATCATTACACCTAGGAACTTTACTATGACTTTGGATGCTGGTCTCAGCAACACCTGTCGTTTTCCACGCTTTTCAGCTTTAGAAATTGAATTGAGGGCATCTGCCAATACATTCATACGCACCATCTTGGCAATCTAAATAATAATGTTAAAAATTAAATTTCATTTTGGGTTAGTTGGAATATTGAAAAATCTATAAGTAGAAGCCTAGTGCAATTAATTTAGGTGTTGCTAACTTTTAAATTATGAGTAAGCCCAATCTGTAATCAGACTGTCATCAAATTCAGAAATGTAGGCTACCAATTGTTTACATTTTTTTTTTTAATTCTAGACTAATGGCTTTCATTCAGGTAGATTAATAATCTTAAAATAATTATATCATGAGGGAGTTAGACATACTTAAACCGTGGAAACTTGTAAGATAATAAGCTAAATTTATTTCAAGGAAAGAGAAACTTCAATGAAAGTATTTGCAATACTTTTCAAGTTAAATTTAATATTGAACAAAAAAAATGAAGACAATAAGGCAATAAAGCCAAAAATCTAATTCATTTATTTTGCTTATATGATACAGTCGTAACAATATGTATTGTAATAACAACGATGTACTGGGATATTTAGTGCGTAAAAATAAACAGCTATACCTGATGATGGCGACGAAGGGAAAAAGGGAGACCACATACTTAACTTCCGGGTTATCGGGAATCTTCCGGTTAAAAAATATAATGCACAATTTTGATTTAATGCTGCATGAATGATAAATAAATGTATGAAAACATTGAGTAATGTTATTAAATCAATTATTAACTATCCATATGCTTTATTAACATTTATTGCATGCTAAGTGAATGTTATTATTTATTTTTAAAATACAAAATTTTCTTATGTTTTAAAAATCAGTATTTTTAATTTACGCCGAAAAGTATAAATTATAAATTTATAATATAATGGTTGACAATGTAAACAATACAACTCAGACTAAACGACATCGTGTTGCTATGGTTTAGGAAACCTCAGAACCTCACACAAATTAAGAGTTTTAAATAAAACTTGGTCTCACAAATAATTGTAGAATTATTTAGAAGGAGATTGGCCTACACTATATATGATAATTTAGCCTGAATAATGAAATAATACAGTCAATCAGTCAAGGTATCAATCAAAATCAATCATGCCCATGCCTAACATACAGTTTTGGCTGAAAACTGAAAAGTAAAGTAAGTTCTGAAAAGTAAAAGCCTTCTTTCTTCATAAATTATAAACATTTGGCTCTGCAACAATATAAAACTAAGTATTAGACATCAGGAGATGAAATAACTATTTTATATTTATGAAGTGGCTATTCGGACCCAGCTACCAGAAGTGCGAGGTTGGGATTAAAAAAATGTTTAAATATTATTGTTGGTTTTGTAAAATAAAATTTGGTATCGAATGAAAGGTAATTGAATGGACTATATGTTTGTAAACGTAATTCTTCAGTTTAACTAAAATAAACTACCACAAATGACATCCAAATAGCATTTAGTCAAAGTCAAAATGGATCCGAACACCCATCGCTGCTATTTGGACCCAGGTCCCTTTACACTAAATGCTATTCAGATGTATTCGGATACCAGGTCCGATTAGCCGCAGCCTTAAATTTATTATTAGGCCTATTTATTTATATTATATTTATATAATTTAAAAAAAAATTCATTTACAGTTTTTCTTTACCATGACCATAACCATAGTATAGCCATAAAAAAATTAATAATAATACTGAATACAATTATCCTTGCACTTGGTTAATAGATTATAATTACTATAATTTATGTTTATCTTATGTCTTGTTAATATTAGCAGGGATTTAATTTAGGGTAGAGCTCTAGAGCGGGGTCTAAATGCCTTATTTTTAGGGTTGCCAGAGGAGGACATTTTGAATGTTACATTTGAGTCGTCCCGGATTAATCTCATAGTCATAGTCAGCACAATTTTATTGTAATAGCTGCCAATTAAGTGTATCTTACTCTTAGTGAATCGACCAAGAAAGTCACCTTAAAAAAACAAATTCAATGGACGCCTTTTTCAAAATGTCAAAAAAGCATCATTTAAAAAGCCTATTGTGCAATCATTACCTTATAATCTTTATTAATTACATGACATATTTCTTGGAGGAGCCAACTTTTCGCAGAAGATCCTCGTTAGCAATCACATATGCATAAAACTGTTCACAGGTAAGATTCTTTAAAATTGTTCTTTGTAAGAATGATGCCCTTTACAGAGTCGAGTAAGAGTCTATTCCTTTCCTTTGTCGATTGAGCATTAATCAAGGAGAACACTATTTCCACACTGCCATTGTGTCCAGGGATACAAAAGAAAAATTCACAAATTTTAAGTAAATCTAAAAAGCAACATGCATTTGGGCAACTTTGGAAAAATAAACTCCACTGTTCATGCAAGAGTCTTTCATAAAACTGTTCATTTTTGTCTTGTACAAATGATTTAAGATTGCAGTATTGGTCAAACAATTGCACATCATCTACAATAATACCCTTCTCTTTCAGATACAATATGCATGCCAAAAGGTCATCAAGTTTACAGTCTTTGATTTTATCTAAGTACAACCAATTAAATCATTGAAATTCATCAAAAGGTTTAACCACTTTTCTAAGTAACTAATGCATGCTTCATACACCAACTTAACATTTGCCATAAAATTATTAAACTCTTCTTCTTGACCACTTTCTTAGAATGTTAGAATGACTAAAATCGACTGGTTCGCAGTTTTATTCTTTATTTTTTCTTAAACTTTCTTTATTAAAATTTCCTACAAAAATAAAAAAAATTAAAATCAAATTGAAATAGTATAAAATAATTACTTGGAATATGCTTACATTTTTTATTTTTACCAACCATGGGCTTTAAAAATTAATAATTGAATATGAAGGGGAGAAGATAAATTAAAAAATGAAAATGCTAATAGAGGATCACTAGTTAATAGCATGTAATTTACTCCATTAAAATACTATTTTTCAGGTGAGTGGTGTTTGCTTTGATTTTTCTCATAAAGTCAAACATCAAAACAACCTGAAACGGGGACTAGGTTTGGCTTTTTGAGGACATCTTTCAATATGGCTAGAATGTGATGAAAGAGTAAGTCTAAGAGCATTCCTCTTGACTTACAATATACAGCTTGGCAATTATACTTCTTAGTGACATTTTACATCACTTCAATCTTATTTAACGGTAATGTATAACTCTCTTTGGCATTGATTTTTTTTGTAATAGCTTTAACAAGCATTCCAATGTTAATTTTTTTGTAGAATGTCAATGTTCTTGACATCAACATATTTTGATAAAAAATTTAAATTTACTTCCCAGTTGAATTTGTATTTAAATGATTATTCATTTCAAATGGTTTTAGTCACCTATCTATATATAAAGCCAAAGCACTCACTTACTGACTGATCGACTGTGAGATCTCAATAAAAACTACCCCAATGAAAGTTGAAATTTTGCATGCTGATTTCTATTATACTCTAGGGGTGCAATGACAAGTTTAAAAAAATAAAATTCAGGTTTTAAGTAGCCTAAAATGACCAAAGGTAAAAAAATATATAAAATCATTTGTTTATGGAGTTTTTAAAAATTTGTTTGTGTTTTGATGTCATGTTTTATGTGTTTTACACTGCATTTGAACATGCCCTATATTATTTTTTTCAAGATGCACACCCAACAAGAATATTTACATTTTAGTTCTCGAAACCTTGTATCTAAAGTTAACTATCTCCAACTTATGTAGACACTTCTATCTTTCAATTAAGTTTATTGTGGTGAATAAGACATCATTTTTTCTTTAAACAGTAAAAATAAAAAATTCTTGATATTTCTGTTAATTTTTATATAAAAGCCAAATACCACTCACTCACTGACTCATTCACAAACTCGTTCAGTCACTGATCATGAGATCTCAAGAATAACTAGTCCTGTGAAGTTGAAATTTTGCATGGTGATTCCTCTATAACTTTAGAAATGCACTAGTAGGTTTAAAAAAAAATTAAAAAATTAGGCTTTTAAGTGGCCTAAAATGACCCAAGGCCAAAACATGGCTACTATTAATGATTGGTTTTGTAAATGTGTTTTTGAATGTTTGTTTTGTTTAGTAATTGGTTTTTGGTGTCAAGATTAATTGAGAAAATTTTTTGCTACATTTTTTGTTGATGACGTTTTGCCTACTTAGTGCTCCTAGAAAACTTAGTATTTTCAGTGTCTAACCAAATAATTAAGCAATTTCGCTTTCCTTTGCGGAGTATGTAAGATCTGAACTTAGTCAATGTTAATTGTGAATACCTGAGACAAATTTCTTATGACATAATTACGGTGGTGTAGCTAGGTTGGTGCCACCCCCTTCCATGTAAAAAATCTGCAATGGGACAAAAATGCCACCCACTTTCTATGTCACTGCATAGTTAAGCTTTCTGAATCAGTTCTTCAAAACATAAACAAAAATTCAAGTTGAACAAAGTCAAGTCGAACATAAAAGGGTTAATAGTGTTGTTTACATCCTTGACAGCTTTTCTTTCCTGATGCTCCAGATGGCACAGAGAAAATGTTTTTGATGAATCTTTTGCTTAATTGTGTAAGAAAAGAAAAAAAAACATGCTATATGAAGCTTACTGATGTATAGCATCAACTTTGGTAAGCAGAGGAAAGACAGCTCACTTTGCCTTCAAAGGGCCTCTCACAACGCCGACCTTTAGGGTGTGCAAACTGTGCGCTCGCACAGGACACCGTGGCCATTGGGGCGCCCAGTAAATATTTAAATTCCTTTAGTTTATTATAGTGAAGTGTGAAGTACCGCAGAAAAACTAAAGATTCAAAATTAATGTGCATGTTATAATGCGTATGGTTAGATACATGTATAGCATCATAACACAAGCTCCATAGCCTACGTTGTAATTGGAAAAAGAGTGGAGCCATACTGGAACAGGGAAGGGCTTTGCCTAACGGGTGCTTCGCACAGGGCAAAAGTTTACATAAGGCTGGCGTTGCCTCTCAACTTAAATCAATTTGAGACTTCTTTGAGAATCATTTTGAAGCGGTGTAATACAGCTCAGGTAATTAAAGAGTGCAACATGGCTCACAATCAGGGAATAGAGGCACTGGACAGAACTCCTCAGGACATAGAAGAAAATTCCTTATTTTTGGGATGAATATGCTACTGGCCAATTACTTCAGGCAGATTCTACCTCAAAATGCTGATGAGGTCAAAGCCTTTCTGAAGTATATCCAACTATGGCCTAAAACCCAAGTCCGATTCTTGCAAGTGTCCATGAGGGTTCATCTCAAAAGCAATATACAGGCTGAGGAGTTCTTAAACTTCCTTCTTCAAATAGGATATGGAAATTTACAGGTAGAGGATAGCAACATATATGGACCTGGAAATCACTGTAAAATCTAAGCAAGTCAGTTGTCTGGTTACGTATAAAGACGACGAGAAAAGCTCCGTCTATCATTTCTCTATAAAGTGGCCACAGGGCTAGTGCCAGCCATTCCAGCTAACACATATCTAACCCAGCAGAAGCCAGGTCACTTAATCAGAGCCAGACGCTCAATAAACACTGACTTCACCTCTGATAACTCCATGAGCAGTTACACTCTGAACAATGATAAATGCTTCACTGTGCCTCAGTGTACACAGTTCAATATAAAGAATCATTCTTCCCATGAACAATAATTGCATGGAACCAATTGGACAATGCCACTGTGGACTCGACATCAATCGAGAATGTCAAGGCTGCCCTGGCACCCGCTAGGAGCAGTTAGGATAGCCGCATCGCTTCCCAAACCGTTGCACATATGCCAGTACTTGGTTGCAGCAACGTAGTCTATCAGAATCAGAATATAATTTCTTTGGGTGGTGGTTGAATCAAAGGGCTTAAAACAAATAATCTGATTGTTGTTTTGCCAACAACTCATGACTATCAATACCTCAAGAGTGTATTGAGACAGTAATCAATTATTTTTTTATAGCAGTAAAAACACTAGATTTGACAGAATGCAGCAAACACATGGTAAAATCAGTCAGCACCAGAGACAAGGGATGTCATCAAGGAATGCAAAATCCAAAACTAAATCCTCAGTGCATCATCGTTCTGACATGCTCATGGAGAAACAGGTTAGGATCATCATTTCAGTTTTAATTGTAGGATAAAATCATTTTAATACCTTAACCTGGCTTTTGAGTCTAATTTAACTTTGCTAGCTTGTTAAACTTGTTTTTATTGATGAATCCGAGAATATCCATTTCTTTGACGTGTTATAAATACTATTTTAACACTTGTCAAGTTTGCATGGCTCCCTCCATGTGCTGGCATTATTTTCAACATTAATAAGGTGCCTGAAGCTTTTATAAAGTATGAGTATCCCATTTTACATTTTGGTTAGTTTATTTTAATTTGAGGTGTAAGATAATTTACTTAGTTGATTTTACTGTGACTTTCAAAGCTGAAGATGATGAAAGTCAGCATGTTTGTGTGAATTTCCCCCTAATTCATAGGTGCAGCATGTACAAGAACTGCAACTTAAACTGCAGTCTGGTCTCCAGGAGCTGGAAAGGGCAACTTTGCCATCATTAATACAAAAACTTCGTGTGGAGGTTGCAGATCTGAAAGAAGAGTCACAAAATATGATTCTCACTTTTCAGGTATGAATGTAGAATTTTAATTTTAAAAATCAGAATGCATGCTACATTTTGCATTTCAGTTTTTGAAACATTTTAATTTTTGATTCCTTATGATTTTTTTATAATAATTTTTTTTATTCTCCAAGTATCAAATAATCCATACCTTGGAATTCTTTTCTCTAATAATCTAAAATGGTCACCCCATATAAACAAAATTTAAAAAAAAAGCCAATTCCACACTTGGTTTCATTTGAAGAAATCTGCGTCACTGTCCAACATCCTGAAAACGAAATGCCTATCTCGCACTCATCTGTCTGCTACTAGAAAAGGGTGCGATAATCTGGGCCCATACCTAAATCAAGACATGGACAAAATGGAGCGAATACAACACAATGCAGTTCGCTTCATCGCAAGTGACTACAAATCCACAAATCCTGCTTTGTCACTGACCTCTTAAAAATATTTGACATCCCCTCCCTCAAAGACAGACAAGAAAAGCTCCGTCTATCATTTCTCTATAAAGTGGTCACGGGGCTAGTGCCTGCCATTCCAGCTAACACGTATCTAACCCCGCAGAAGCCAGGTCCCTTAATCAAAGCCAAATGCTCAATAAACACTGACTTCACCTCTGACAACTCCATGAGCAGTTACATCCGGAACAATGATAAATGCTTCACTGTGCCTCTTTGTAACACAGTTCAATATAAAGAATCATTCTTCCCACAAAACAATAATTGCTTGGAACCAATTGGACAATGCAGCCATGGACTCGAAATAAATAGAAAGTTTCAAGGCTGTCTTGGCACGCGCTAGGAGCAGTTAGGATAGCCGCATTTTTCCTAAACCGTTGCACATATGCCAGTACTTGGTTGCGGCAATGTAGTCTATCAGAATCAGAATAAAATATTTAAATGAATGAAGATGACTATGCTTTCAAATTGCACAAAGCAAAAGAATGTCACAGGCAGTCCCTACAGCTGATCAAGTAAGGTGCATTTCATAAACTGTACTCTGTCATATATAAATAAATAGCCTAACTTCATGAATTGTGTGGTTACAGGGCTTTCTTTTATGTATTTGCTATAGATATATTCATCAAAGACACTTAGGATTGAAAGCAAATTTGTAATATTTTTTGACGCATAGAAATGTTAAATATATGATAGATAATATTAACATTACTGTCATCTGTGAGGTCAAAATCACACACATTGTGAAAATTGACTGATGTCTCAAAAGAAATAAAAACAGAATTATGCCACAAATCAAGTTCCAGATAGTCTTCATAATCAAAATGCTTTACTAAAAGTGACTAGCTAATTTATTTTAATTAACAATACAACAGGTTCCTTTTAATTCCTTTCATCAGGTAGAAATTTATCAAAGCAAATTATGAATCAAAATTAAACTAATAATATTTGTAGAGTTTTTAAAAAAAATATTTGCTTCTACAAACAAAATTTACCATATTCACGAGAAACATGACATATTTTAAATGTTGTGTCTTATTGTTATTGAAAAAAATATTAATCAATGGCAATAATTATATTTCTAAGATCTTATATTCTGAATAAGAAATTATTATTTTTAAGTGAATCCAAATTTTTTTGTTTTAACAGCTGTTTTTCGTATTATCAGGTGATGGACAAAATCAACATTGAGTTGGCTTATGCAAGGGCTGAATTGAATTCTGCACTTCAGCAAAGTAATAGTAGCATAAATGAAGCTAGAAAAAGAGTCATTTGGTTGGAGGATAAAATGGGGGAGCTTTGTTGCAAGAAAATACCAAATGTAAATTTAAAATAATAAAAATTGCATTTTCTAAATCATAAATTATTACATATTATAGAAGCATAATTCAAGTTCACTAAAAAATTGTTGCTTTCTGATTATGTTTGTTTCAGTTTATTATCATAAGGTAATCAGTCATGTTTTGTATTCTCTTGTTTATAAGAACAATGAAATCACCATAGTAGCTGCTGCTGATCAGTGTGAAATTGACAAGATAGTTATTGATGTAGAAAACCAACAGTCTACCTCTTGCTCATTAGAAAGGAGGTTTGTTATTTTTTCCATATTTGGTTGCTTTCTTTGTGAATATACTATAATTGATATAAAAGTAATTTTTAATTAGAATACTTCATCTTATAGAAAATATTTATTTACATGTTGTGTTTATTTTTATAATTGTTTTCTCTATAGTAATTTTAAAGACAAGGAAGATGATGAATCCCAGTCACTTGGTAATCAAGGACTAAATGACTTGACTGGTGACCTTGAGCAGAAGCTGAATGTCAAGGTTGCAGTTTTTAATTTAATTGGATTTTATTTTAAAAAAACAACTTAACCTTTAAAAAATAAATTGTTATTTTAGTTCTGATAATACTGTATTAAGAGGCCTACTTACCTGATTAATCATTTACCTCATGTTAAGCCTAATGAATAAATATTGGAATAAATTATATTAGCTCTTTAGAATTCTGGAAATCAGTTTAACATAAAGCTAAAAAAAAAATTAAAAATTAAATCAGTTTTAAAAATCAAGGCTTTAGAACAAAAATAAAAATGATTTGTGTAGTTGTCATTAAATTACTGTAATCTAAATTCAGGGCTTTATGACAGAAGAGCGTTCTCTAAAGATAAATAAAGCTGAAGATAGTCAATCTGTCTTAGAAAAAGGAATCAAGGACTATTTGAAAGGAGATGATGAGGAAAAAGGCGAATCAGATCAAGATGATGTCAATTGTAGATCAGACTCTACAATCTCTAGGGAAGATTTATTTATAGACTCCAATAAGGAAGAGATAGTACATGTCAGAGATCCAATTTATTTAACAGAAGTAGAAGGACAGAACACAACAGTTCTGGATCAGCTAAATAACAAAACAGGTTGGTTATGTTTTATATCAACATTTAGTATTTTTTTAAAACAAATATTTAAAAAAGTGCTGCATTTTTGTAGTCATAAGTCTTAGGTGGAACAGTTTAAGCATACTTCATGAAAATCGGAGATATATTTTGCGCATAACACATTGTTATTTTAAACTGTATAATGTGAACCCCAAAAGTTTAGTTTTTAAAAAAGCCTTAAAATTCCATGTCCTGTTATAATGCAATATTTTAATTTTATTCTATAAAATAAAAATGCAAAATGAATCAATGAAAGAAATTTTTTTTGAAAATAAAAATAATGTCAAAAAAGTATTATATTTAAATGAACTATAATAATATACCATCATTACTTTCTTTAAGCCCAGATACAATGCTTGCTTGGTCACCCTATTTTTTAGTTGCATTTTTTGCTATAGATTTCTATAATCTATAATGCAGTAATAAAAGGTAATTCACCCTGATGCTGTAAGCCTTTTATCCATTTAAGCCTTTAGTTTAGCATGTTTTACATGAAAAAATATTTTATTTGTTTTCTATTATAAAACAAATTAATGTATTTATTGATCTTGAACTTTTAGAAGGAGCAAAGCAGCAAGACTTAGCAACAGAGTACTGGCATTCTGAGCATCATCGTTTTCATTATAGTGAGTTTGCCAAGGCCTTTACAGATTTTGACCCATTGAGTTATCATCAGGTTGGGTTAGCTGTTCCTGGCTCATTCATTCAGAAAAGTAAGAATATTTTAGCGATAAATTAATTATTTTTTTCTCATTGTAATTTTAATATTAAATTTGTGTGTGATAAGATTCAATTTGATGAGAATAAATTTTGTTTAATCTGGAGCCATTTTACACGTCTTTTATAAATAATTCAACATTATTACCCCCCAAAATATTAACATTAAATAATGAAACAGTGAATCAACTTTTACAGCAGACATTAACACTGAATATAAGGAGCTGCCTTGGAGAGTAAGGAGAAAAGGAAGTGACATCAAAGATGTCCATGTAAGATTTCTTAAAAAATATTTTCCCAAAAAGAATAGATGACAAAAAGGGTAAAAATACTTTAATAATACTACTATTAGTTCTTAATTTTCTTTGTGTCAATGACAGTATTTTGTTTTTCGGTTAACAACTAGCACTGTGAGTAGAAAAATCAATTTTCAAACAATTAATTACAAGTAAATGAAGCTGTCTTAAATATACACCAAACACAGTTCATTAATTAAGCTGAGCCACTGAATATTTTTACTTTTATTTGTTTTATTTTATTAGTATTTCCAATAGTACAGTTGAATTTTAATTAATTTTTTCCACTTTTAACTACTGAAATGTAGGTAGAAATGTCCTCTATAAAGGTATCAAAGTATTACCCTTTTTTTAAAAAAAAATGAGTGGTTTAGATATTGATATCCATTTTATGTAGATACTTAAAAGAAGGAAAATAATTGTAAACTTTTTAAAATTAAAAACAGCGTGTGGCTTTAGATAAGCTGGCATCCAAGATACATGGACTTTATGACAAAATTTATGATGCCGCTCAGATTTCTGTGAGATCTTGGAATGGGAGTAGTAACCTTTCAAAAGAAACAATCTGTTCACAGGGAGGTAAAATATTATATTGATATTAGCATTCATTGTCATGTAGTGCTAATTTCCAACTTGTTTAATTAATTAGGATGATATAGTAGAGATTGTGTTCAAGCCATGTGAATGAAGTAATAAGGATATGGCCTGTGAAAGTCTGAATAAAGACAAAAGGTGATAAAAAAGGAATTTTCTGCTAAAAGCCTTCATTAGCAAATGCAATCAAGATAACAGAGAATAAAATCACAACTTAGCTTAGTAGAAGACTGAAAGTTATTCAAATCCCCCAGGAAAGCATTTCTTAGGAAGCATCTAATAAAGCATCATTAAATTAATTAGATATGCTCTGCACTAAACAGCATTTGCTCTATATAATAGTTCATAAGCCTGTTCATTCATGGATAGCTGTCATCATTCCTCCAATGGTGACCGCTTATAAGCAGTCCCCATAAAATAAAATGCAAGTGTGCTAAAAAAAAATTTGTAAAAAATATTGAAAAAAAAATTATTGTGTTAGTATAAAGACTTAAAAACGAATAAACATACAATATTATGTATAACACAGATACTCGCTTCACTGGTAGATACGGTAACCATTTGAAAATTTTCATAAATAGACAACTGCCGCTGGAAAGAAATGTGTTGTTGCATGTTATGCACTGGCATATATTCTTTTAAAAATATCAACTAACAAGATTGCTTAAATGCAAAAACCGAAACCAAACTGAAAGTTAAAAATGAATTTTGACCGTAACCAAAGCCTTAACAAAAAGCTTAACTAGACTTTCATCGAAAGATATATAACCTAAAAACTGTGATGTGAAACAATTTTGCAATAAAAAATTCAACATTATCATCATTACTTGAATAATTAGTAAGTAATCCATAAATAATCATTGCAAACCTACCCTTGCAATAAGAGTCGTTACTTGGCAGTTCGTTCAGTGTTAATTTGTTAGTAATTAAAGTCAGACAAACAAATGTTTTAGTTCAGAAACAAATGTTCCTCTCCCTTATTTACCTTTATATATGAAAACATTTATGAGCATGATCATGATAACTCAAAAATGAATGACATGAATGAATGAACTGAATAAACCTAGGGTTCTCAAATTTTATTTAAAGAAAATGAAAATAAAAATAATAATCGAAATATTACCATTTGCTTATTCTTTTACTTCCACAAAACTAGCTTAAATATATTTTATTTTTGGAAATATCGGACAATTTGGTCATCATCATGCAGCTGTAAGCAGTGTTTGCAGAGGAATAATCATATTTCATAACTTGACAGCAAGACGTCAAGCAATAAGGAGTATCCAATTCCCAGCCCACAGACAGACAGCGTGATAATCTGATTTCTGGTAGACGACTGAAAGCCTAAATCACTTTTTCCGAAACCGAAAATCAACAAAAAGTTAACTTTTCTGTTTCGTCCAAAACCAAAACGGTGCCGAAATTAAAATTTGGTTAGCCTCTATATGGGAATGCATTGTAAGAATGAGATATAATGGCCAGTTTTCATGCTATGCAATCAAATTTTGCACAAGGCCAATTTTGCACTCAGTTTAATGTTAACTTCCATGAAGTTTTTTTTCTTTATTGTCTTCTATAATCAAATCAGTGTAATCTTCTATGACCTGCTCATAAGATGATCACCCCACTTATTCCTTGTAATATTTCCACAAAAAAAGTGGGCTTATGATGATTAGATCTATAGGGCCTACACATGGATTGTTTTACATTAATTTACTAGCTCATACCGTTAGTGGCTTTTGATTTTGATCATCTAAGAAACTATCCAAAACACCAGAACATAACTGGAGAAATGAATATCTTGCTAGATAAAGAACAAGTTAAATTATATGATTAAGTTAACATAAAAAGTTTAAAATTAATTTTTTAATAAGTAATCTTTAATTTGTCTTTTTCTTGAGCTCTCAAATTGGAGTCTGGAACCTTAGTGCCAATTGTAAGTAATTATAGTTGTCATTGTAAGGAAAAAACTTTATCCTGAAGTTTTATCACTATGAAAATTTTTAAAAAAAATTTTTATATTCAACATTGCCTGTTTTGGATTTAATTTTAAATGTTACAAATTTAATATACCTTTCAAAATTTCTTTCTTCAGAAAACCAGAGTCAAATATCCCCAACCACTACCAAGAGAACTCTCTCGCAGTAGTATTAATTTGATTAAGCAGCACAATTTTTACCCCAAGCCGATTCCACCTCCCCTCATTCTACCCATCACTAGGACTGTAAGTGGCTTGATAGACAATTCGATGATAAAATTTTTGATTTAGAAGATATGTTGTGAATACTATGTCAGACAAACCTATTTTTTTTTTGCCATGAGCTCCATTTGTTTAAAATGGTAATAAAAGGGTTCTATATAACTTTCCCATTCTATACTTTGTCTACCGATATATTTGGTATATGAATGAAAGGTACTTTTAAAAATTATTTTAATAACCAAGAAACCACCTTCTTAGTGATAATTTACACTATTTACGGTGACCTTAATATGCAGAGCCCGAATAAAGAGTTTCCAAGATTTGCAAGTTCCTTTTGTAAACCTGACCCTGATTCTCGAAAACCAGCCGAGAGAATAGTTGATCAGCACAATCTGATGGAGGAAACTAGACTGGTTTTGTATCGAGAAAAGATCAAATCTACTGCTCAAGGAGCTGCACACCTTGAAAGGAAATTCCAGAAGATGATTGAAAGTGATGGAGCAACTAATAATAAATCATCAGGGTACTACTTTTTTAGCAAGAAAATATATTAAAATTAAATGTTTTTAAGTAGGAACTTTCTGTGTTAATGTTACAAGTGGCCGTTTATTTTCTACTCAACAAATGCATCGAGTGGAAACTTTTGATTTATTTTAATCTGTCTTTTGTTTTGTTTCAGCATAAACATTTCAAAACATACAATATCTACTTACTCATGAAAGATTAGTAACACCTTTTACAATTTGCTATTTATAGAATTTAAGCTTTCTAGCTATCTTTGAACCTAAGATATGAGCCTTTGAATGTGATTTTTAAATAAAACAAAAATATATATTCACTTCCCATATAAAGTAAATAGAAAGTTGCTAATAAAATTAGGCAAAAATAATTAAATTCAAGGCATTTGCTCCTTTAGGAGTAAAATTTAAAATAGTTGAAAGTATTTGCGCTGGTGTAATCATATTTTGTGTGTGACATGAAATTATTAATATAGAATTCTTTTATTTTTTTAATATTTCAGGAAAAAATTGCAAACAAGTTTAAAAGCGGCTGTTGCTGTTGCCAGACTACAATCAGGTAGGAGAATTTCAATATAGTCCAGTGTGATAGTGCTTTTAGCTCAGGTTTTATTAGTCAACCATTCATATATATATATTTTATCCCGTTAATGTTTATCAATGGTTTTATGATTTGTACTTTTCTCATAAAGGAAAAAGCACTTGGAACCTAATCAAACCAGATTCCAGAGGCAAACAGTATCCAGGCCTTAGATGGGAGAGGGTCAAGGTTAGTTTAATAGTAGCATATATTTTACTTTTCTGTATGATAAAAATATTACAATTCAATTTCACTTTCAGTTTTTGGGGCATGCAGCATTCAATTCAAATTACCCAAAATTATTTTGCTAGATTGGGTAACCTACTACCTCAGGTAATAATAGGTGTTTAGCCAATTTGGTCAGCCTTTTACTTGCGATTGCAGAGTCTGGCTTACTGCATCTAACCAATGGCCTAGTGTGGCTTCCAATGTGGTAGTTCAACTATTCTGTTTGCTGATGATGCTGCTTTAACATCACACACAGAAGAAGATCTGCAGTGGTTAGTTAATTGCCTCTCCCACGCATGTAAAGAATTTGGACTGATCATTCAACAGAAAACAAATTTCATGATCCAAGAAGTACAGTCCCCTCAAAACATAAGTATTGAGGGCCATAATATGTCTGTAGTTGAGAATTTCCCATACCTTGGATCCTATATCTCTAGCTCACTCACTCTCTGTTGTTGAAGAGGTGAACATCAGTATCTCTCTTAAAACATTTCTGTTGATTTAAAAGTCATTAATACCCAATTCTTTTGTAAAAGATTCATATTTATTTCAATAAATACTAAGTTTACCCCTACTGGAAATAAAAGGGTGGCTGTTGCCAGAAAATATAACAACACCGAGTAACTTTTTTTTATATCTGATGAGTTGGGATCAGACAGAAAATGTCAAAGAAATATTTTTGCATTATCATTTAATGTTTTCTACTTACTTTCCCTAAATTCTTTTTATTCATTCTATTAATGGTTGATAAAACCACGCCCCAATAAAGATTTTTAAGTTGGACGGTTTTGATTAAAAAAAAAAATCATAATATAACATTTGTATGTTAATTTTATTTGAATGTTATTTCAGACCATTGTCCACATCCATCTTCAGTCAGAGAGGGTTGAAGAAAGAATTGATGGTGCAAGGGTGAGAGCTGATTTTTACAGAAAATAGATGGTGGAAGTGTGAGAATGTTTTTTTTTTTAAATAGATTGTTTGTAATTTAGAGAGATGGTACAAGTGTGAGAATTGATGATTACACAGAATAAATTGTGCAAGTGTTAGAGTCGATTGTTACATAGAATAGGTGGTGGAAGTGTGAGAATATTTGTAACATGTATAATGTGGGCAACATCTCATGAATGCTTGTTACATGCTTATTATGACATTGTCTTATGGATACAATTAATTTGTGCTGCATTTTAAAGATTTATTTATAAGATCCTCTAAAAATTATTCTTATATTTGTTTGAAAAGTCTGAAAGTGGATGTATTTTATATAAATTTAATTCCTGATTTGCCCCCACTCACATTCATTATTGTTTTCCACTTCATTTTCATCTTAACAATAACTATGAATGGTATAGACTTCATAAAGTCTTAATTATAAACAAATTAAACAATTTTGGGGTAAGTTCTAATCAAGTCAGCTGTATCATCTCTTTAAGTGACATTATTTAACACCGTGAAATTAGAAGATATATCAGCAAAACACAAAAGTATGTTAACTTTGAATCTGTCATTTTTGACATGTCAGCAACTTGGGCTTCTGAGATGTGGGGATACAATGGTGTCTTATGCTCTGAGAGAAAGACTACAGAAAGATCCTGAGGACAGAGTGAGGTATGAAGCTGCCAAATCTCTTATTCTCATTGGTGAGTTCATGTATTGTGTACTATCTCAGATAAGTACATTTATGAACCGGTAACTGATAAATAGATGCCGACATACATTGATGCTTATTATTATCCACAGTGTTAGTGTTTATAATATTTTAGTTTCACTCTTTTCTGTTTTAAAAAAATGTTTTTAAAAAGTGAGTGTCTTAGAATTTGGTAATTTTAAATCTATTTCCTTCAAATGGCTTTATTTAAATCATAATTAAGAGATTGCATTAATTTTTACCTTCATCATGATCAAGTCTTTCTTACACATGAATGTAACAAAATAATCTCATATTTCTCTGTCTCAGTTCATTTTCCTATGACATGGCTCTTTTCATTTTCAGGCTGTTGGGATGAAGAGGTGCTGGAATGTGTCTTGAAATATTTGATTCTTGGCAACACAGAAGTCAGGGCTGACTTGATCCAAACCATAATCAATGGTAAAAATGTGCAGTATATTAGCAAGGTAAAGTACTTTTATAACAATGAAGGCTTATGTTTTGAAATTATTCATAGGAAAACAAATTTTTATACACATTTATATTGTCATCACACAATTTAGAAAGTGCACAGCTGTTCAGGAACAGAAAATATAAATTAAAGGACTGCATTCAAGCTTAGTAAATGAATGAATAGCAAAACGAGGTATGTGGAAGCTTGAATAAGAGAACAAAACAAAAAACAAGGACTTTTGGCATAAAGCCTTTTTCAGCTAACAATAGAAATGAAAATATAACAAAGAACAGAGCACAGTAGACAACTCAAGAAGTATCCATTGGTGTCGCCGGAAGTGGGAACACAGGAAGCGAGAGAATATAAATATTGACACTGTGAAAAATGAGGTCCACAATAATAATGGATCAGAATATCCAGGGATACATAAACACATATCAATAAGAAAATAGATTACATATAGGGAAACAGAGAAACATCAGTAGGATATTATTTGGTTAATAGCATATGGAGATCAATCTTTCAATCATTCAGTGTAGCCACAGTTTCAAGATGCATTTCAAATATTAAGTATATAATCATAATGTAGTCACTGATACAATGTTTTGAAAATACAGTTAAATTCTCAAATTAACAAAACTAAGATGCTTGAGTAGAAGTAGAAATGAGAATTGAGAGTAAAATATCAAACATTTTGCCCAGAACAGATGGCACTACCTTCTGAGACTTGAATTCAAAATGTTTTGATTCATAAAAAAGTTAAGTTTTGTAAATAAATTCTCATGAAAGATTCAACCAAATATAAAAGGTTGAGTCCACTACAGACACTTTAGTCTCACTATGAATTTTTTTAGACTCTTCCATCATTTTCGGAACTTGCTAAAGTCCTGAGTCACATCTGTCAAAACCCCGACCCAGATGACATGAATTCCTTTATTGCTGCTGTCTGTATGGGTCAGCTGTGTATCAAGGATGAACACGCTCACAAAAGACTTGTTCAGGCTGTGGAGGATTCAAAGGACACACACATCAAAGCCCAGGTAGGTCGAATACATTAATCTGTTAGCTCTTTGTCATGGGCAACATTAATCATCGCAAGGTTAGCTTAAAAACATATGTTTGGGAATATTTATAGAACATTGCTAAAGTAATAAAACATAGATATGCGCTCAACTTTTGTGTCTAACATAGGGGTGACCAAACATCCCATTTTTACGGCATTGTCTCATTTTTCACGATCGTACCCGGTGTCCCGAAAAAGTCTCTCGGGACGCCTAAATGTCCCGTTTCTAAAACCAAACACATTTTCAAATCACTAAAACTTCCTAATTTATAATATAACTTCCAGTAATATTTTGGCTAGCTGTGTGCTAATATGTGTTTGCCAACCCTGCCCATAATGGTAATACTGAAAGAATCTTTTCGCTGATGAAAATTCAATGGACGGACAAAATAAAAACAAGATGAGAGTGGAGACCCTTTCTGCAATCCTGCAGGTTCTCTACAATTTTGAAATGGACTATTCTAGTTTTGACAACTTTATATTTGATAAGAAAGAGGTTTTAACAATGGCTGGGCCAACAGCCAAATATCCTCAATTTAAATCCTAGACTAGAGAAATTTAATTTGTTGTGTTGTAAAATATGTTTTATGTGAACAAGTATTCACTGCAAAATTATTGCTTTCGTTTATGATATGCCTCAGAGTTTAAATTAAATTACAAAAGTGAAGGTAAATTTAAAAAGATTTCTAGGTCTCAAATAGTTAAAATGAGTATATTTCAATAAATAATTCTGGTGTAGGCCCCCGGACCCCTCTTTAGCTGGAGGGTATCCCAACAAACCCTCCTTGGGTGTGTCCCGTTTTTTCCAGTTCATGATTTGGTCACCCTAGTCTAACATAACTTGGCATCAGTGACACAAAGCTTACCATATCAGCAATATCCAATTTTAGCAACCTTTGTCCTGACAGCCTTGTCAGTTTCTATTTTGTTCCAGATTGAATATCAGTTTGGTAGAAATTGATTTGTCCAGCCTTTATTAGATATTCTGGTACACATTGTTAATATCAGAACTTGATTGGTTTCAAATTCTATATGTAATATAGCTAAGCTTTATTCTTTTTGTAAAGACTGGGAAGTTCTAAGCCTGTATTACAGAAGGTTCCTATATTTATGAATAAGTCCACATGTAGATTTGAGGCCTACCTGAATAGGAGGCCTGCAACCTATAACCCCACCCCACTTTTGACGAGAAGAGAGAATTATAATTCAAGAAATTACATTCAGTAATCTTTTCATGGCCATAATAAATTCCCCATTACTAAGTTGTTTAGGAAAAAAGAAATAATAAAATTTCTTAGAAAGTAGATTTGAGCGAGAAATATGAAAGTGTGAATAGTCTTTCTCTCCCTCAAAATTTCCAACACATACTATATGGCTTTTCAAACCTTGCGGGATATGTGGCTCACCTTGACTAAATGTCACCTGGGGAAAACTCCCAAAACTGAGCCCCCTCCACACACATCTATAATATAATGTTGGTAACATATATTAACAAAAAGGGCTACCCAGGGCTTATGCGCCCCCCCCCTCCCCATTATGCCACTGGTGATACCTACTCATATAGGTCCCAGTATTAACCCTTAAATTTATTCCTGATTCCCTGTTTATAAAAAGTGACATTCAAGAAGGATGAGTGTTACATCTTGGAAGTTGCTTCTTTAAAATTCTACATTTATATATATATTTTACATGACCTGTGTATTAAAAAAAAAAGAAGTAAATATTTAAAATCAAACTAAAGTCTTTTTTTTTTATGCTTCTGTAGCAAACTGGAAACATTTCCAGTTGATAAATTTTTAGGTCTGTTTAACAGTCAGTTGGCAGTTCCAACTTTTGTGTGTGCTCCATTTATATTTATGTGAGACCTTAAAAATAAAAATCACTTTTACGTAATATCTGTAGCTGCTGAACAGAAAAGCATATGAATACTTGGAACAGTAACATTAAATGACCAAACTCCAGAGTCTAGTTTTTGTGTAAACTGTGAGGCTGTATAACTAAGCACAGCAATCTCTTAGAAATATGATCACTTATTTAATAAACAGTTGGGTTGTGGTTTTTAAGTTAAATTTTCAAACATAAATTTTGTATAAAATTTAATTTGTGATAACAAGATTAGTTGTCCTGGTGAGAGGTGTTATCTATTGCAGATCTGATGTCAAATTCTAAAACAGTTCCTTCATGACATACCATATTTTTTGTCATTCATAAAATCTTTTACATAAATTGTCTTTTTTGTCCACAAAGGCCCTTGAAATTATAGTAAAGCAGCTTCATTTTACTGATGATAGTGTTATACAGCACATAGAAAATATGCTTGTTGAGTCGCCAGTGTGGAGCTATCGAGCTCTAGCATGTCATCTGCTGGTTGACCTTGGTAAGAAATTGTATCTAGTATTGTTAAGTTATGGGATGGTTAAAGAATGTTTTCAGTAATTTTTAAAAATATGACAGGGTTGAATATTTGCAGATTTACAAATATTTTTGTGTTTTTGTATTAAAAAAAAAAATTACGTACCTCTTTTTATCATTGTCATTGATACCAAGAGCCATTTCAGTTATTGAATTCAAATCATTCATAATTTTCTTAAGGTTCAAAACATGAATATGTGATTAAGCATCATGAAAAAATATATCAACTTTTGGAAAAGAGACTTTGGGATGACCCCAGCATGGTATGTCTCTGAGTTATTAAGAAATGACATGAAGAAATTAATATTTGAAAACAACAAATTATTAAACAAATATTTTCAATTTAAATTTAAAATAAAAATAATACTTATCTGAAAATTTGATTATAACAGTTTATGACATTCAATGTATTTTTAGCAGATGAGGTTCATGTATAGGATTTATGTTTATATTTATTCAGGATGTGCGTCGGGCTGCTGCTAAATCTCTGACTGCACTTGGCATGTTCTCTAGAGCTTGTGATAATGTCATCATGTAAGGAACTATTTCAGGCCATTATTTAGATAATTTATATTAACCTTGCTTTTGTTCATTGCTGGTTGGGTGGCTGGGTTGCGTACTAGAAAACCTTTGTATTGCTAATTGACCCATTTCCTGTCAACCTATCAAGCTGAAACTTGGCACATAGACTTGTTTTCAATGACAACACATTCTATCAAATTTTTCAGCCCCAACCCCCATCCCCAGCCCCCAAAAATCAAACTTTTCAAGTGTAAGATATACCAAATATGATGACACGGATTTCTTGAACAACTTCGCTAAATAAGATTCTTAAAATAAAATGTCACAAGTGTGTTTGGTGCATAATATTTTCTTTTGTTTTTCTGAAATAGTTGGTGAAATAAATCTGCGGTGTAAAAGCAGGAGGGTTATTAGAATATTTATATAGTTTATAGGTGTGAAAAAAATGTGCGCTTGCAAGCCTTGGGGGGGACCACTAAATGAGATTCTTAATAAAGTGTTTCTTGTATGCATTTTTTGGTCAAATTTTCAGCCCAACCCCCCCATTGCACAATATTAGATTTCATAAAAGATTTATACGAAAAACTTTGTTTTTAGGGTTTCTTTAATTTAATGTTTGATTTTTAAATTTGCAGTTTTCGATGCTTACAGAAAATTCCCAGTTCAAGTTTTTTTTTTGGACTCTATTTATGTTAAATAAAAATTTATTTATGTCTAAGAAATAGATAAGTCATGAGGTTACTTGACATCAGAAGAACTCCAACTATAATGTCATAAAATGGTTGTTAGGATAAGAATAGGCTCATGTTCAAAAACGTATTGAATACCATAAAAAATAATCAATGTTTGTCTTAAAATTATTTTTATTTGAGCATTAAATATTTTTTTTAAAAATCTGTTACTAATTATTGACTTTTACTGTATGTTAGTCCCACATAATATTATAAATAGACATGGGCACATATCTTTGTGTGATTAAATCTCACCAACAATGTCAGACACCCATTATCCCTCCTGTATGATTTCAGAAAGCTGGAGGATGTCAATGAAGAAAGCCGAGCTCAAGCAGTTGTTGCAGTGGTAAGGATGAGAGGGCCTTTGTGGCTGACGAAGCGGTTGTGTATGAGTGGGACACTCAATATTTTTCAGTTACAGATGATTGCTACTGAATATTAATTTTTTTCCATCTATAACAGAATTTAAAAAAATGACTTCCCCTTTGTTCATATAATTTTTTTTTTGACAATTGAAATAACATAAGCATTTGTTTCATGAGGTACATGAATGTGGCACTGAATGCATTAGACATTGGAACCCTATTCAACAGTTGTGTGAAGATGAAATGTTTTCCCTAAGGAAAATAACAGCTGAACATTTTTTAAAGAATGCTTTATCCTCACTATGAATGTTGTCAAGAAATGGAACAATTAGCTATAATATACTACACTCTGTTTTATTCTATATTTTACAGGGAACTCTGGGGATGAAAAATGAAAAATTGATTCGTTTCTTGCTGGAAATGCTTGAACTTGACTCCAGTGATTATGTTCGACTAATGGTAAGTTCATTATTGGTTCATATCTGGGTAAATATCATTTTGACTCAAGTGATTATGGTATGTTTATTATACTTTGATATCTGGGTATAATATTAGTGATGTATTTGTGAGTATTGAAAAGGCACAACTGTTGTTAACTAGAAAAAGCTTTAAAAATTTGTCAAGAACTTAAAAAATACACATTTCAAAGGATTTTTTAAAAGATAATTTTATGTACGCGGTATAAATTTTTCATTTAAATATTTGTTAAAAAATTGACATTTTAATGAAAATTTCTTTAAAAAAATGTAAATATATATTATTAACATATGTCACTTGATGTGTCCAGATAATCAGAACATTCAGAGTCCTAAAGCTTGCAGATAGGAGGATCATACGTTCTCTTAAGGAAAGAGAAAAACTTGATGGAGCACTTGGAAGGTATGTTTGTATGAGAGAATAATTTTACATAGTGCCAGCTTATCCACAAGAGGAGTGTGGGGGCAGATAGTGTGAGTGGTGTAATGTATCCCCAGGAAGTTTTGTGCATGCACATTACATGAGATGTCTCTTTAAGTGTCCAGAGGACTATAGCATTACTTTAGTATTGGCTAGAATATCTTTGGCCTTCTGATAAACAATTCTTTTATTGAGGTAATTGAACAAATTATTTTACTATTGAGATAATTACTTTGAAAACATTATTTACAAAATACATTTAAAAAAATGTATCAGCTAACTACAAATTAGTACTTATTCCTTCAATTCAATATTGTAATTTATTTTTTCTTGTTGCACACTCATTTAAATTTTCACACTTACCAATAAGTGCATGGCTATTTATGTAATATAGACAGTTTTATTATGGCATCTGGGATGTGATTCAATATTTTATTTTACAGAGAATGTGGCAAGGCCTTGAAAGTTCTGGATGAGTTTGTGACAGTTCAGTCATCCAAATTGACACAAGTTAACTAACAACTCTTGGTTGATTTGACAGAAGTGCTTGTTTAATAACAGGCTCAGTCATCATCAGTGACCCATATGAAATAAAACATTGTTATTTGGTTCAAAATCTATCAAATTGATGGTAACAAATTAAGGCTATATAATATTTGGGAAAGGACATTTTATGGCTGTTAAAATCTTTATATGTTATTAATGCTATACTTTTGCTGGCCTAATTGAGTTGACAAAACATTGGTTTCTTGTTTGCTTTAAATAGATTTTAAGATGTGTTTTCGTCATTCTTTTTTTATTAGACTTTTGTTAATATATTAGAAACACATCAAAGTATCAAACTGTGATATTTTTTTTGTAAATAGAGTTAAATAGAGATATATATATATATATTTGTGATACAAGCTTTTTTCATATACAGTGGTACCTCAACATACGAGTACCCCAACATACGCGCAAGGTTACAGAACGAATTAAACTTGTATCTCGAGGTATATATTCAATATATTTAATGCAACAAGCTATTGTAAATTTTGCAAATCTTCCAGTATATTAGGCTGCCTATGCATTTTGGCATCAACAAAGTGATCTACTTGTGTCGTGTGTTACAAAATTAATCCTTCTGATTATTTATTGTGATTTATTATTAATTTTTTTTGGTTGCTCAATAATCAGCATTATAGTATTATAATTTTAAAAAAGAAAATATTGTGAAATTTTAAAAATGACTGCTGTTGCACATAGTACCATTACCATAATTTTTGGCATATTTTTACATTTGTGAAAGACTTTACTTTTATGGCATGTATCAAAATGAAAAGCAAAGAGCTAGCATGAGTATTGGATTCTGAACCAATCAATAATATCAATGGATTACTTGTATGAGTCAAAGGTATGCTGTAATTTTGATAGTAAATTGTAGCTTTGTTGAAACAGTTATTTTGAAAGCAATTGCATGTTCCATCATGGGAAAATCTAAACTTTTAGGATACAACTTTCTTGTTTAAAAAAAAAAAAATTCAGCAAGTCGTAGTTTGTCACAAATTGTCCCAATGATAAGCAGCCAGGAACTGTAAAATATATTTAATTGCACTAAATTATAAAGCTCAGTTGCTTTATTATACAAGTTTTCAAGTCACGGCCACTGTTAAATAAAAAGTGGCCGTTACCAAGATATATTGAAAATAGTCTTTTAAATGTAACATTTTGGAAATGAAAACAACAAAAACGTGATTTTTATATATATGTTAATAGTAATTAACTATTTTATGTCATGAATGAAATTGTATCTCAAACATTAAGCCCCCCTCCCCCCCCCCCCCCAAAAAAAAAAAAATAAAAAAAAAATAAATTTTATTTATTTTTTTTTTTTTTTTTTTTTTTTTTTTTTTTGAAAAGTATTTAAAAATAAATATTTGTCTTCGTCTTTTTTTTTTTTTTTTTTATATTTGCGATTAACTAATTAAAAAAAAAATGTTAATGTCAAATCACTTGCTATAAAAAAAAACCTACTGGTTTATTTCAATTTCACATCTACAAGAAAATAAAAACCGTGTAAAATGTTAGTACCTGTAAACAACAGTAAAGCCGTGGTGTTTTATTTTCTTCATGTTTTAGTTGTGGTGTTCTGCATAAATCTGGGAACGTTCTTGATGTGCCGTTAACGTTAAGAGGAAACAAAGGATGGTGAGAGCTTCATAAAACGCCTGGGAATGTGGGAAAATTCGCACCGCCTTCAGCACAGGAGGTGCCCATAAAATAGTTCTATTTTAATGAAGCCAGTGGTTATAAAAGTGGGTGCTACTAAGCCCGGGGGGGGGGGGGGGGG